TTATTCTTTTCTTTTTTGTTTGTTGGGGGGGGGGGGGGGGGGGGGGGGGGGAGAGGGTGCGTGGGCGGTGGTGGTAAGGTGACAATTTCTGTTGCGTCGATGGTTGTGGGGGTGGAGAGGGATAAAGAGCATTTGTAATCAATTATTTGGGTGATTATGATTGATAAAATAGTTAATTTATTATCAATAAATAATATATTGTCAATAAAAGTCCTTACCTTTCATCTTTTTAGCATTTTCACCTTTATTTTCACAAGTCATTATGCGAAAGGTTATTTTCATCAATTTTTTTAATTAAAAGCTATTAAATGATGAATATGTCCTTTTATTTAAATTTAAAAAAAGAAAAAGAGAATTAATTGCAACCATAGTTCCAAAAATTTTTAAAAAGTGTAAATGAGTACCACATAAATTATTAAAAGAATATTTCGAACATAATATCCATACCTTTTCACTAATATTGCAAAAAAAGGTCACTACCTATCAATTTTTGATATTTTCACTCTTAATTACGCATTTACACATTTGATTACTCAATAAAAAGCTATGAAATCACGAATATACCCTCCTATTTAAATTAAAAAATAGAAATAAAGAATTAATTACAATTATAATCCTTATTTTTTTTAAAGTGCAAACTGGTCCTAAATAAATTATTAAAAAAATTAGAAATTAAATTTTTTTTGAAAAAATTGCAAACAAGTCCCAAACAAATTATAAAGTAATCATAAATTAAAAAAATAATTAAGAAAGTATAAACGAGTCCCAATTAAATTATTAAAAAATTAGAAATTTAAAAGAATTTTTATTTTTATTTTTATTATTATTTTACATTTAAATAGGATAGTGTATCTTCCTCATTTCACAACTTTTATTGAGAAATTAGATGAAAATGGATATAGATGATGATTTGTATGATCAAAGGTGTAATTAAGAGTGAAAATGTTAAAAAAAAAAAAGTAGGAACGTTTTTCACAAAAACAGTGGGGTATGGACATTATGTGATTTATTATTCTTTTAATAATTTATTTGGATTCGTTTTCATTTTTAAAAAAATTCGGGACTATTGTTGCAATTGATTTTGTCTTTTTCTTTTTTATTAGAAAGATATATGCGTCATTTCACAACATTTAATTAAGAAAATTGTTAAAAATGACATTTTGCGCAATGAAATGTAAAAATAAGGATTAAAATTTTAAAAAATAAACGGTAATAACATTTTCCACTGTAATATTAAAAGATAAAGACGCTAATTATCCTAATTAATAATAGCAAAATAAAATAGATTTAGTAATGGACATTCTAGTAAATTCCAGCAGATTATGGAAACAGCAAAAGTCGCATCTATTTTCTATGGGAATAGATGCTTGTACGAGTGGGCCCATAATTTTTTTATTGAGCTGGACTGTACTGTACATGTAGCTCAACTGACTTTATATATAAACGGATCTTCAACAAATTTTCAAATTACAATCGTCTCTCTGAAAAATCACCTTTAATTCTGGGAATTAATAGATAGAAAGTAGATTTCATCTGTGTCCGTTGTTTGAGAAGCTGAGTTAATCCAAAGAATGGAAACATTTGCATCGTTCTTCGACTCCCAATCGGCCTCTGGGAACCGTTGGAATTATAATTCGCTGAAGAATTTCCGCCAGATTTCACCTGTCGTTCAAACTCATCTCATACAGGTTTAATTCATTTTTATTTTTATTTTTTTAAAATTTAGTATTTGGTCTTAGGGTTTGGGTGATCATATAAGTTGAAGTTGTAATGAAGGACCTACTGATGAACTATGTTAATATAAATGAGAGTTAATTCACATATTGCCTGGCATATATAGAATTTGAGTTATTGTTTTGAAAAATATGGAATATCTAACTATGCTATAAGATTATGTGCTTTTTAGTAATCTCTTTATAATCTTTTCTGTTCTCTATATACGTGGGAAGCCCACTGATATACTTTTCTTTGTTTTTGGTTTTCCCATCCTTCAGTTTAAAGCTTAGTATCCAAAGTTTAAAGCTTCTGTTTCTTTTTATTTCCATCATTTTTGCAGGAAAATAATATAAACAGCGGTTTTCATTTTTCCTTTGAACTGGTCTATTAATATTAGTTCACCACTTGGAATTTACCATTTTTTTAACCTTTTCAGTTTCCTCTAACTACGTTTGTTTTATTTTATTTGATTAATGATTTATTTTATACGTAGCTCTTGTCCTGTTAAATGTCAAAAAAGATAAATGATGGGGACTCACCTATTAGACTGTCTGATTTCAGGTTTATGTCTCACTATGCTGTGCTTTAATGGCATCGGCTGTAGGGGCTTACCTCCATATCCTTTGGAATATCGGAGGTTTTCTTACTACCTTAGCATCTGTCGGTAGCATCATTTGGCTATTCTCCGTGCCTCCTTATGAAGAGGTATTGCCTTCATTGTTAATTGTTTAGTTTTAAGATGTGCACAAGTCTTGTTTCTAATTTATCATATATCTTGATAATGAACAGAAAAAAAGGGTTTCATTACTTATGGCCGCTGCGCTCTTTCAAGGGGCCTCTATTGGTCCTCTGATTGAATTGGGTATTGACTTTGACCCAAGGTATTTATCCTCAATAAGTTTGTATGGTTTCTGTGTTCCATTCTGAGTCAGTTGTTGTGTTTGGTTTTTATTTATTTTTAATCATGCTTGTTTTGGGATTTTACTTTTGAGCTTTATGAGTATTTTGTGAATATTTAAGTTTTTATTTTCCTTCATTGGCTTATTTACAAATTAGATTTTGTTCAGCTGAAGAAACATTATAAGAATGATGACACATGGTATCTTTTCAATAACTAAAAACATGTACAACCAAACTGAGAAGCGATTTGGGATGATTTGATGATTTGTCTCTCTGTCTTTAGTCATTTAGATTGCTCTGTCCAAGATGATGAATTAAGATATCTGTTGTATGATAAAATGATGATCCCTTGTTTTGGCTTCAAGGATAAATTCCACCTAATCTTGTTTTAGTTTTTATTTTATGGTATCATCTCTATTTCCTCTCTCTTGAGCACTTGTCCTGTGAGGCCAGTTTTATTTTGGCATTCTGGAAACATATATTATATCCTTTTGTATTTTTTAACCATTTAAAGATTGTTGGAAGGTGCTGTATTTATCTATTTTTTCTCAATTAAGTTCTATTAATATTCTTCTAATGCATAATTTTTTTTTTTCTATTGTAGCATTGTTCTTGGTGCTTTTGTTGGTTGTGCTGTGGCATTTGGTTGCTTCTCGGCAGCTGCCTTGGTAGCGAGGCGTAGAGAGTACCTGTACCTTGGAGGCCTACTGTCTTCTGGTCTCTCCATCCTCTTCTGGTTGCACTTTGCGTCTTCAATTTTTGGTGGTTCTATGGCCCTTTTCAAATTTGAGGTATTATCCTTTTTATTTTTCTGTAAAAATGCAAAGTAGAAATTATTACAGAAGTTTGATAGCATATATCCTTGTTATCTTGCAGTTGTATTTTGGTCTTTTGGTGTTTGTGGGCTATATCATCGTTGACACCCAGGAAATAATTGAGAAGGCACACTTTGGGGATCTTGACTATGTGAGACATGCCCTGACCCTATTCACTGATTTCGGCGCTGTCTTTGTTAGAATCCTCATCATCATGGTAACCTCTTTGATTTTAATTTTAATTTTGTGAATATTTCGAAATATTTGGCTCTGTTTAATATGATCTTATCATTGTTTTGGACTGACCTCATCAAATTTTACTGTGTAGTTAAATAATGCTCTTGAAAAGGAAGGGAAGAGAAAGAAGAGGAGAAACTGAGTTAGCTGAGCAGCAATGATGTAGGCAGTATGCTAGATGACTCTTAACTTGTTTTCCTTTGTAACCCAAATGTTATAGCAGTTTAAATTTATTAGGCTTATGAAGTGCTGTGTATGTGTTTTGTACATGTGACATGTAATTCATCTCTTTCTTTTTCTCTCTATCAAATGGTATAACAGTATAACTTTGATAATTTTCTTAAGGATTGAAGGTTATTTCATATTTGTTTCCTCACAATGTATTACTTTTAAAGAGAGAGCAATTTAGAATTGTTCTCTACTGAGTAGAGACGTTTAAGCATGTGAAAATGTTAGGGAATAAACTATTGATAAAACATGTTATGATTTGCGTATGTGAAAAAAGGTAGAAAAGTTGTCGGATATTCACCAGGATACTTGAAACACCAATGTTTAGTTGTCAAATTTCATCATAATGAATTTGGAACTTTCAAAAAAGAGAATGTACACTATCATTTACAGATATTTTTTATTGATTGACTAGGGAGGAAAAAGTGTGTTGCACGTTGGTTGATGAATGTTAAATATAAGTGTATGACGGCTGTAAATGGACATACACGATAGTTCTTAAAGAAGCAGTCAATCTAACAGCATTCAATTTCTTTCGAACTTGCCATAGAAATATTAGGAATAAAATTAAATAGGTAGAAATTTAACCTTGGAATTACGTAAAAATGGTCTCTCAAATATAAATTCTCCATGGAGATTATATAAAAAAGGGCTCTCAAATATGAATTTCCTATAGAAAGAGAGTGAATTGATGGATCCAGCTGGAACTTCTACTAAAACACACTCTCAATGTGCAGAATAATTAACACACTCACCAAACAAATGTCATGGCCCGACAAAGGTGTGATAACTCGAAGGAAATGGTGTGGCAGATCGATTTTGCACAACATAATATTTTCACTACAACAGTAAATGTATTTATTAAACTCTTAGAAGCAATTGGAAATTAAATTTTTTTTCCCATACTAATCATTGTCTAAAAATGTAAAATCACACTGTAAAATAATGTAGTTCGAAAGAATAAAACTCAAATGGCTTAATTGACAGTCTCATTTAAAATGCAAAAAGTCGATAAAAAAAAATACAATTAATGATTAGTTTTTTAACAAGTGGATGGACAGTAAAGCAAACTAATTAAGAGCATTAAGCATAAGGAACACTTTAGGAGACACCAAATTTGAACTCGAAATTATAAGAATGATGGATGAGCAATAACCAAATCTTCTTGAACCTATTCACTTTTTTCCTTCTCATTTCCGTAGCAGTCATTTGAACCCCATGACATTCTAATGTTGTACTTATGTATGATTTCTATATTATAAATAGTAAAGCACCCTACCCTCGAGCATCAAGAAAAATGAAAAAAAGAGAGAGAGAGAAGACAACATACGATGTTTTGTATCATCAACTGCCAGTAGCGCAATAGCCTCCTCCAACATATTGAATATCACGGTATTAAAATCAAATAACAACAAGCAATTCCAAATTTATTATAATACACAATGAACTTTGAGGATGATTTTAAGCAGCCTTGAAAATAAAAATATAAAACGACGACATTTTTCTACATTGAAATTGTGCAATCTATCCCTATCCATCAGGTACGACACAATACTCTTTCCTTCCCTCCACCTCTTCATCCATCAAAGTAACAGTAAACACCCTCTCCCCTCCCCCAAACCAAAAAATAAAATAAAATAAAATAATAATAATAAATCCCAGGGAAAGTATTTCACCACCCACCATCTTGAATTTATTTCTTCCTAGTATAAATCAGCATAATACTAAAATCAGCGAGCACATGTGCATTTTATATGCCTTTACTTTCAATTTGCACATACAATGTGAAGAAATAGGCCATACGGCCCCACTTTGAACCATTCTAAAAGCATGATGTGCTCACACTGAAAATTGAAATTATACCTACATCATCAACACATTGGTGAAAAATAGTTGTATCCTTGAGAACCTAACTTGAGATTGGGAAAGTAGCATAATAATGAGAACGTTTCCAGGAAGCATCCATCTATTTCATCTGCCTCTCCAATGCTAGGTGTAAATCTCACTTGGCGACAAATGAAAGTGCAATTACAGTAGAAGATGAAAAGTAAATTTGATGGTATGATAGTCTAGATACTGCTTCGGGCCCCAACGTAGAAAGTACAAATGCCAGTCCTTGGTCAAGAGGGATTAGACCTAGAATGAAAAGAATTGTTCTATATGTACAACAGATAACACTACCTTTTGGCACAATTTACTTCACTTAATCCTCAATTATCTAAAAATTACGTAAAAATGACCAAGTAAAAGATTCAAGAAGGTGGTGATACCATCTCATCTAAAGGTTTCTCTTTTGGACGAGGAGATTCAACATGACATCCTAGTAGGCTAGGAAAAAGTCTAGGTTTAAGTGTTTTTATCACCCATTTATGAAAATTGTGCAAGTGTTCGGCCTTTGACGACAAATATAAACCCAGACCCCTGAGAGATAGCACAGCAATTACAAAAATTATAAGGAAAAAATTTGTCTAGCAACTTGACCTTTTATGAGATGGTTCAAGATAAACAAATGAACCAAAAAGAAAAAATTTCGAAACTTTTGGAGGGGTGCATTTCAGCAAAAAGTAGTAAGCTGGCAGAAAGATAGACATCTTTGCTTTACTCTCTCTTCTCTACTTTCGTGAGATAAAAGAAATGGAGATTAAAAAATAAAAATGATGTGCTTCGAAAAAGATAATTTATGTGTCCATTAATAAATATTGCATAAAAACAATAAAAAAAATCTGTGAGGCTTTCAAGCATGAAGCAGCGGCGTTCACCTAGATTCCAAGTATTTTATCATCATTCCCAAGATCAATTAGGAGTTGCCTCAGCTTGGCTTTAACATTAAAAACGACGGGGTATCATGCCAGTGAGCATTATAAGATGGTCCCTAGTTAACGTTGCTGAAACAAGTTATACAAAGAGTCAAACAAAGTCAAGTAGTCCAAAGAACTATAGGAATCGTAAAAGAGAGTTTACCATTACAAAACAGATTTGGCAAATGGCCTCATGATATCTAGTGGAATGAATGTGCGCTGCATAGTATAACGTTATTCAAAAATAATGTGCTTTTAAACTAAAAGAATGTGCTATTAATTGTCAAATTCTTCATATTAGTAAGACCTAATAAACTAAAAGAATGTGCTATTACCATAATTTATATATAATTTCAAAAAATAATGCATGGCATAGCGATATTCTCATAAGACTGGTATTTAAATTAACTCAGATGGACCTCCAATTAATTTGAAAGTTATTTCTAGTCAACTTTTTGTTACTTATTACAACCAAATATCTGAATTAGCACGTAAACAAATCATTCACTCGCCTGGCAACACTTCGGTGGCGAATGCACTCCCTCAACATTGCACCATAATGTAATGCCAAGTCTGTATTCTCATATCTACACGATCTAGTAGCTAAGTAAAATAGAAGTTAATCACCAGTTGAAGAAAATAAGCTTTTAAGCAGTGTCAGAAAATGGGGAGGCAAAAAAAATTAACTGTATCCAATTTGGCTATGCTCAACAGAGACAAAAAGTTAACTTCTTAATGGGAACTCTCACCAAGGGCAATACCAGTGGGGAAAACAACAAAATAATACTTCTAATATCTCTCTTCAGCCATAATCTAGTTACTTTGTTTCATTGAGAGAAATATATATTTGCCACACATTTTTCTTCACAATAAAGAATTTACCAAAAACATCATGTAACTAAATCGGACGGGACTGAGGTGCAGAAATGGGTATTGCTCCACCATGATGGAATATTCTAGCAATTAAAAGCTAGTAGTATAATTACACCTTGAAATGAGGTCATTTTGAGATCCAAATATGTCAATATAACTCTAGGAAGCCAAAACCAAAATTCTTCCTCTTTGATTTTCAACATATGCACACAAAAGTGAATGACCATAAAACTTTTGTTATATTAATTAAACCAAGTTACATAAGCTTTAGGAAAATAAATGTAACATAAAACGGCCAACTATTACATTGCAATGATTTCTTATAAAACTCGAATTTCAAATCATTGTTAGTCAAATTGCTTTTTTAAGACAAGAATGCTGAAACTTATAATGGACATTTTGTACAATTAGCTACCATCAAATCAAATTTTGAAACCTATATTATGAAATGAACAATTTTACCATAAGACAAAATGCTTCAAATTTGATCTTTTGTGTAGTGTTATCTAAAAGGTGCATTCCTTTGATAGCCAATATAGAAACAGGCAATTCATGATTACAATCTTGGTTGTCAAACTGTTTAGAACTACACTCTTTTCTCTAGTTTAGGATTAACTTGTGAGTGATCTTAGCCATTATTTCCCTTAAAACCTTAGTTGACATTGCTAATTCAATATTTTTAATCAAATCTACATCATTTCTAGCATGAAAATGATCTGAAAGAGCATGTATTTGAGAATGTAGAGATGTGGTATCTAAAAATTAAATCTAAGAAATTTGTTAGGCATATAACTGAATGTATTATACTTGATCTAGAAATGTAGATATTCCAATTTTCATAACTCCAGAGAAATCCTAAAATAATAAAAAATTCCAATACAAATTCTTAATATATTCAAAAATTGATACAAATAATAAAGAGCAAATTCTATACACATGACAAAAAAAATTAATAATAATAATAATAACAACAACGAACAAAATTTAGCAAAATGCAAAAGCCGTCCCTACCTGATTGCCTTGAGTAGGAAGAATGGTCCAATACTTATAAATATAAAAGCCTGCAAATGGGAAAATTTCATATTAGAAAATGGTACACAATGTAAAAAAATAAAAAAATGGATACTTTGGAAATTGGAAA